AACTATGCTAAACAGTCAGTGAACTAATCCAGTATCACACACCCATGATCCTGCTGCTCCCCAAAGCCTATGACCCCATGAGGGCCTTGAGGGAACATCTAGATACAAGCCCAGACCGGCTATTCTAGGCAAGAGAAATGTCATGAGCAGAGATTTGGAAGTGTGCAAGAAATTGTGCAAGAATCAGTAGGCTGATGGGGTCGGTGTGAGCGAGCCTTGTGGAAGGCTGGCAGAGCAAGCGCCCAGCTTTCTTACTGTCCCCCGTCCTTGTCCATTTGAGTCGCTCTTAGCTCAGGTCACTTTCCTAGGTTGATTTTCCTTTGCTTGCTTTTTATTCCTCTTTAGCCCTTCCTCCTACCCTATTCCTTTCTCATCCTCCCTCTTCACAAAATACAGACAGTGATTCTTAAATTCTGTATTTCTTCTTGACCAGGAAGACAAACAAACCAGCTCTTTCTTGTAAACAATTTTACAGCTGACCTCTCTGAGGAGAAAGGATAATTCAAGCAACAAATCTGAGAAAGCTCTAAGAGTCTCAGAATCCTTTGGGCTTCTTAAGTTCACGGTCCTGGAGCTTTTCTCCAACAGACGCTGGAAGCCTGCTTACTTCCTGCCCGCAGTTTGATTCCTGTCTGTGCAATGTATTTCCAAAAGGGCATTATGACTTCTGCTTGTATGTAAATTCCTCTTTCCAAAGTATTTTCATGAAGAATTCAATGGGAAAAACAGTAGTGAGTAAAAATAAGATCCATCCATACAACATAATGGTGTTTTTTAGAATCCCTTTGTCTCCTTTTAAAAATTTCACTCGGTAAAACTTAGCCTTAGTAGATTTAATAATGATGTAAAATGTATTTCATGTTAATTTTTATTAAAGAATACAAACTAAATAAATAATAAAGGAAAGTATGCATAGGAACAAAAAAATATTAGCAGATGGTTTCTTAGCAGTTGTACATTGAATGATGTTTTGTTTTCTAAATTTCCCAGGGAGAAAAATGAGTATGTATAATTTTTATGGAAAAATAAGACATTATTTATGTATTTATTCAATTACAGTAATCCCGAGGATTTTCTGTTCTAGGCAAAAGCTATGATTGGAAGGAACAAATTGCTATAACTGTTTCATTTTGTCCAGGATATTTACAGAAATTCCTTCCTAAATTATTCTTGCAGCATTTCCTTGAAGGAACTATCAGAGCTTCTTAAAATGAAGTAGGAAGTGACCTGATGAGATCTGTGATTTAGAAAAAGTAACTAAACAACTAACAAACTAACTGCTCCTTTGTGAGGCTATCGGTGGGAATTCAGATCAGACCTTTCTAGGAGACCAGGAGCAGGATGAGCTAGTCAGGCGATGAGATAGTGAGCTGGAGAGGAAGAGGTAGCTATGGTAAGCAGGCACTGAAAAGTAAACATGTCCAAAATAAATTCTCCTTTTTAGACTATGCTTCCCCCAACCTTCCAGCTAATTTATTTCTCCTCCCCTGATTTATTCTCAGTAAATGGCATCATCTACCATCCTGTGGCCCAAAACAGAAACTAATTTCTTCATCTTCTTGTTCTCCATCTAATCCATCACTGAGTCTTAGTTCTTTTTCCTAAATATCCCTGAGAGCTGTCCATTTTTCTCTACCATTGGATTAGGCCATTACCATTTCTTGCTAGACTGTTTTTTGTTTTGTTTTGTTTTTCAGTAGTACTAGGGATGAACCCAGGGCTTTTACACTGAGCTACATTCTCCGGCCCTAGGTATTTATTTATTTATTCTTCAGTTACTTACTTTTGAGGCAGGATCTCAACAAAGTCACTGACTTCTCCAGGCAGAGCTCTCACTTGCAACCTTCCACCTTAGCCATCCACAGTACTGGAATTACAGTTACGGTCCACTATTCCTGGCTACAGTTTGAGTTTTAAAGTTTACAAAGTGTTTTTCTTTGCTATCACTTGTTTTCTTTCTGCCAGGCCATTCCAACATGGTGTTTTACCAAAACTGAAAATATGATCATGTTACTACTCTAATTCCTTGGCTTCTCTGTGCTTTTAGGAAGCAGTACAAACTCGACTTTCAAGGCTCTGCAAGAGCTACACCTTCCTATCTTTCTAGCCTTATGCCTTGTTTCTTCCTTACTCCTGCTCGTACTTTGTCCACTTACAGAACCTTCCGGTTCTCCAGATGACTGTTTCCCGCCTCTTTCCACACACTGTTCTCTTTCCTGGAGCACTTGCCTCTGCCCTCCTTCGCTGTATCGAAGTCCTAGATATCTCAATTTAAGTACCACTCTGGCGGGCCTCCTCCAACTGAAATCTGTAAGCATTTTGGTTACTCACATGATGGCTCTCACCGTGGGTGTCTTATTGCTGGTGTTTCCTACTAGATGGTCAGCTGTGAGCATGGCCAGGGGCTGCAGCTCTTTCATTTACCATGTGTCTAGCTGTACTATTCCAGCACTGTAACATTTGATGCTCAGGTAATTGATGAATTAGTCAAGAAGGAAGGGAGGAAGAGAAAGAAGAAGAGAAGGAACACAAAGGAAAAGAAGGGGAAGGAGTGAGTAGAAAGAAAAATATTAAACTTTTATAGAGGCAACAAAGATCCTAATGATATTAAATGAAATTGCAGAATCGGGGGAGGTGGGAAAGTATTAATAAAGTATAAAAATTATTGTAAGAATCATTCAGCAGCATGATACATGGCCATACTGTTATATTTGGATTTTAAAAAGAAACAAATAGGGTTGGATGGGAGCCTAATGAGTTGGGTATGAACATCTGGTACAAAAGTTCAATTGACAACAATAGGGGATCTCATGTGGAACTTACGAAAGAAGTATGAGCCATATGTGATGACTTAGGTCATGGGAGTGGGTGAGACTCCCCAGAGAGAGTGCCTAGAGCACTAAAACAGCTGAGTTTGGAATTCTAGAAACCCTAACATTTAAAGAGGCAGTAAGAGCTCTTTAGTGGCAGCTAGGGCCTTACCCTACACCTAGGGAGCTAGGAGTTCTGAAACGGTGCATTGCTCAAGAGGAATTTGAAAATGTGTGGCTGATCCCACAACTTTGGAGGTGGAAAGAGGGAAAACTCCCCAGTCGATTCGTAGCTTTTTATGACTCATTGTTTTCAGGAACTCCTTCCTGTTTCTGACATGATACACTTACCTTGTTTGCTTTTCTCTAAAATGGTGGAATTTAACAGAGCTGAAAAATTAACACAGGCACTTTACTCATTTTATCTATTTAAAACCTTATTGCAGGGTACCATTTAAAGCTTGCTTAGCTGTTGTTATTGACCTGTAAATGTCAAAGTGTGATTTTCCTTCTCTATGCTTCCGTGTGGGGCTTGAGATTATTTTGGATGAAATCCAGTTAGATATGGAAAAGATTTCTAAAGAGGAAATGACCCATTATTTTTGTTGGTGAGCTTGTCAGTTTTGCAAGCAGCTCTGATAACCTCGAATCTTTTGTAGATGAAATAAATTGAATCATTCGCAAAATGTGTCCAGCTATTACAAAGCCATAACAGCAGAGACCATTATTCAGTATTTCTACTAACATGGTCACCCCTTTTTTGCATCCCTTTTCTAATACTTTCCAAATTTCCTGTACTTATTCATTCACTTGAAGCATATTTATTGAATACATTATTTGTGTCAGGCACTATGCTGAACTCTGGGAATATAGTAATAACCAGAGATTTCTGAATTCCATACCACCCAATCAATACTTATTTGATTGATTTAAATTTCCATCTTTGGTGCCTTAAAATACTTTATAAGATAATTGACTGTGTAGTAAAGAAACCAATAATGACACCTGTTTCTCTGTTGGGCTTCTGCTATTTCTAATAGTACCATACTTTGCACTGATCTGCCTAGTTATTTCTGAAGGATGGTTCCTAGAAGTGAGGAAGAGAATTTAAGGCCCAGATTGCCTAAATACATTTCAAACTGAAAGACATAATCCATAATATAGAGACTGAAAGCATGAACATCCAAATTGTACATACCTGGATTTGAGTCCTGGCTGCACTGTGATTAGCTATGTGATTGTGCACAGACGGCTTATTTCTCTGAGCCTTAGTTTCTTTATTTGAGAAGCTGGGATAATCCTAATTTGTATCTCATGGAACTATCTGACTATGGTGATTGAATGAAAATACTTAACATAGAGCCTGGAACAAGATAAGAATTTAAATTATTTTTCCTATCCCCGGTATGACATAGGATTCAGCCTTTTAACCACTTTTAATCTTCCCACACAACCTAATTGTTACAAATTTTCACCCTATCATTTGTGTCCTACTGCTAAGTGAAAAATTTTAAAAAAGAGAAATAGCATGGAAATATATACCATTTTTAACAGACTTTTACCAAAAATGCACAGCAACTTCTACATCAGTAAGTTGAAATGAGGGTATTTCTAAGAACAAATATAGTTGAGTTTTTAATATAACTTGTTACAATTTCATGTTTCTAGGGTTTAAAAGGCCTAGAAAGTAGGATAAAAGGATAAGGAATGAATGTTTGATTAAGCAGAAAAAGCACAGTACTGTATTTATCTACTTATAGCTGAAAACCATTCAAAGAACTGATGAGAAAAACCATATTTTATATTTACTTGATCACTTTTGATGCTATTTTTCAAATCTGAAATAGTTAATATTCTGCTATAATATCTAGATTTCAGTGCAAAATTATAAAACCAAAGAATTAAGATGTAAGAAGCTGACTTATGGATTGCCATCTAAAGGAGAATAACTTACAATTAATATGTTTAGAAGCGATTAAAAAACCGAAACTTTTTTTAAAAGTTAAAAAACAGAAATGTCATAGGAGATGTGTTGTATATGCTTACTAGTTTGGTTTTTATTAATGTTAAGCTAAAGTTGTACCACTGCAAGAAAGTAATTGCAGTAAAAGTTTCTTCAGATTTGGTAGAAACTTATCTCCAAACAAAAGTTGGGTTCTTTTGTTTGTTTAATGCTGTCTCTAATTACAGGGTGTAGGAAAAAACAAGATTGTTGACAGATTCCTTCACTTGCTCAACAGACCCCGAGAATATATTCAGCTGCACAGGTAAGCGTATTAGACCCATTTGCTTTTAACATTGATTTAATTATTCGTCTTTCCTCTAATACCATCTAAATACACTTTCTCAAAGCCTCCTTTTTAAAACCAGTTTCATTCCTGTTCCAACTGCTCTTATCTCCCTTCTCCTTAGAAGGTAATAAAACCATGCAAAATTTATTTTTAAAGTGAGTAACACTTTATAAACATGAATTAATAGATACTTTGTGGACAGAGAGTGATGAACATTATATTCTAGAAGCAGATCTCATCAACATTGAGGCACTTAAATTAGAAGAAAAATATGTAGCGCTTAAGCCTGTTCTCCTAACAAGAAGCTAAAATAGCTCACAGGGAGAAACAACTGTGTAGATCTCAGGTATCAGATAAGGAGCACGGAAAATTGTGCTATTACTGTCTTTTTGCTTTCCTTGAAACACTTTGTAGATTATTTACTTCTGTAGGGTAGGAATGGTGGCTCACGAAGAGCTTTTAAGCATATAAATTTTCTCAAAATAAACTGTTTTTAGTTTTATCAGTGAACCTGTTACATATTTTAAGAAATGAAATCTAGGCGACACATCCACTAGGGGCAGCACGAGATAGACAGCAGGCTGTTAAGCAGTATATCAAGCGTTAAGCAATTTAAAACAACTTACTGTTGTTTTATCCTTAGAGTTAAAAAAAAATACTGTGCAGGAGAAAGAACATTAGATTCAATTGTAACAATTAGCTTCTGGTTTGGGTTTTGTTAAATGTGAGTTTTTGAGAGAAAATTGTAGAAGCACAGGGGGCAGTTAGTTGAGATATGGTTGAAAATTTCTTGTTAGGATTTATACCACTGGCTGTAACAGTACTAATATCGGACTAGTCTTCCCGAGTAAAGATCTTTTAAACTGGACAAAATTCCAAACACTAGAAAAGGAAAGCCATCAAGGATCTCTGAAAAACTACTAGGACTCCTACATGGTTAAGAACCTTCATTAAACACAGCTAGTATTCAGATGATAACCCTATAAACTTTATGCTTTGTGAGAGTGATGTATCCATATAGTACAGACTACTTCTTATGCACCCTTAAAAAGTTTAACAATAAGCCTTGAATAAACAATGATGTTTGTTGTTTACATTATTTTAGAGATTCTTTCTCATGCAAAATGACTTTAAAAATTAAAGCAGTGAATTTTCGGGGAGGCAGGGAGGAATATGTTGAAAAGATCAATGTGATTCAAATGTAAATCAAATGCTTACCTGAACAAAACTCAGCACTCAAGTTAGGAAGATTGAAGAATTCCAGCAGTCAGCAGCATGCCTTAAGTAATGGCAAGCCTTCAACAGAAAATTACTAGATATATGAAAACCTGGAAAGTGATCAGTAGAAATAGACTCAAAGGTGAAAATGATGGAATTAGCAGGCAAAGACTAGAACACTTTGCATTAACGTATTCAAGAATTTAAGAGGGGAAAATGAACATGAGGGAATAATTAGGAACTCTCAGTACAGAAATGACAACCGAAAGCAAAGTAGCTTCATATAGGGACAACTGGAATCTGAGAGAGAGAGAGAGAGAGAGAGAGAGAGAGAGAGAGAGAGAGAGAAACATATTTAAAGAAATATAATGGGGGACCAGGAGTTGAGCTTAGTGGCATAAACACCTGCCCTGGCAAGTGTGAGGTCGTGAGTTCCATGTCCTGTACCAAAAAAGAAAGAAAGAAATATAATAGGAATGTTCCTAAATTTGATCAAACAATATTAAGTCACCAATCTGGGAAACTCAGTGAACCTAAAGCAAGATAAACAGAGAGCCATAACTGGCACATCATAATCAAATTGCTGAAAGCAAACAGAAAATCTTTAAAACAACCAGAATTAACAAGGCAGACAGAGAAGAAAAAAAAGGCTGCATATAGAGGAACACTGAAAAAATTACTTCTTATGAAAATTTAGAATTTATTATGAAACATAATCCAATGAAACAATTGCTTTTAAAGTACTAAATGGTAAATAAAAATTTAGTATTAAATAGTGTATTCAGCAAAAAGTAATCTTTATCTGAGCAAAAATAGGCACTAAAAGACAAGAAATAGGAAAGTATTTTTCAACATAACTGCATAATAAAAAAATTACAATTCAGTATTTTTCAGGGACAAAGATAAAATTAACAAATCCAGCAGTATATAAAAAAAGGATAATATGTCATAACAAAGTAGGTTTGTGTGGCCCATGACTGTAATCCTAGCGCTCAGGAGGTTGAGGCAGAAGGATTACTGTAAATTCAATGCCAGCCGGGGGTACTTGGTGAGTTTAAGACCAATCCGAATTGCATGGCAAAACTTTGTCTCAAAAAAAAAAAAAAAGTGGATTTTAACTCCAGAGCAAAGTGATGATTGTCCTTTTTGTGGCACTAGGGATTCAACCCAGGACCTTCATATGAGCAACATCATAGATCTTTGTGTTTTTATTTTGAGACAGGATCTCACTAAGGCACCAAGTCGCCCCATCTTGCTGGAGCTTGGCGTTTTCCTGCCCCGGCCTTCCAGAGTGCTGGGATTGTAGATGTGTACCATTATGCATGGTTATCCATCCCCACTTTTACTCCTGTATTGATTATCTATCTCCTGGGTCAGTTTTATTAGGGTGTTATTAATATTATTGGCTGTTCAAAGAATCATCTTTTGACATTGTTGAACCTCTCTTGTTAAGTTTTTTCCTATTTCAGTAATTCCTGATTTTGTCTTTATTTTCCACTTCCATTTATTTACTTATGTATTTATTTATGTGCTGTTCTTTTTTTACACATTCAGGTATGAATGCCTAAATCGCTAATTTTTAACCCTTAGTTTATAATGTATGTATTTGAAGGTGTCTTTTTCATTTATTCTATTTTAGTTTTTTAATACTAGGAATTGAACTTTGCACTTGACAAGTACTTGACCACTGAGCTGTATCAGTATCCTTCTTTTTTGACACAAGTTCTCACTAAATTATCGACTTCTCCCTTGAGCTTTCCGTACTCCTGCCTTAGCCCCCAGAGGCTAGAATTGTGGGACTGTGCCACCACACCCTTCTGACACTGTCTCTTTTCAGTCTTTCTTTGGGTATTAGTTTTTTCACTTCCAACAAAAAAGAAAAGACCAAATGTGCCACTTATAATATCTTTTTGCTCTATATTTGAACATCTTTGACCAATCAAGAACAAGATGATATTTAAGCTGCTTTTAAAAGTTTAGAGAATTAGACTTAGCCAGCCTTACTTCACCTGAGATGTCCTTAATGCTACCTTTTGTCCTAAAATAGCAAATGGTTTATAAAACAGTAGAGAGTTACATGCTGGTAATTTATATTCTGTGGCAATTTTAGCATTGGCTAGATAAACACATACAGTTTTATCTATGAAGATTTTTCTAAATTCAAAATATAATAGAAGTATTAAAGTCAGATATTTATAATTTACAGCCTTGTTGCTATATTGTTTATTTATTTATTTTTATTTTTAAGATAGTAAAATACAACAAAGCAAGACAGGACAAAGCCAATCAAGACAATACAACAAAATTGGTACAGAACTTCAGAGCAGGGTACGGGGAAAATAATAATAGCTACAATAATATATCTTGTTATCTTCACAATAGTTGGCCATTTCCTTCAGGTATAGCAAAATCAAACCCAAAACAAAGCACAATAAAACTAATCAAAGCAGAATACTGAATAAAGCAAAACAAATAATCAGAACAAAGTCAAGCAGTCAAAACAGTTTTGGACTTCAAGGGGAGGGGTGCGCGCGCGCGTGTGTGTGTGTATGTGTGTGTGTGTGTCTGTGTGTGTGTGTGTGTGTCTGTGTGTGTGTGTCTGTGTGTGTCTGTGTGTTGATTTGCACCTGTAGACTTGCGCGCTTACCAGAAAGGCTGGATTGTTGCTTCTTTGGTTGATTCCCCCAAGTCCTAGCATGAGGATTCTTGGGAGATGCTGGCTTTTCTCTTGTTGCTTTTTATTGATGACAGTATTATAAATAAAATTATATCTATTCATTTTAATAGGACTCTGAAATATCTTTATCCAAAAGTATTAAATATTTAATTTTTATGTAGAGTAAGTAATCAATTTAAGATATTTTAATTATTAATGAGTAGACTGACATTCCCAGTAATTTCAATTTGGGAATTTTTCTTTATTATTTACAGCTTTAGAACTAAGTTCACAAAATTTAAGGCCTTAAAATTGCTTTCAGAGAAAATGTTTAAAAAACCTAAAATAGCAGTTAAAACAAAATGTTAAGGAGTTCTCTGATCTATTAAGGCCTTTACTTTGTTTATTTTAGATTCTCTTTAGTGGATTTGTGATGTTACAATCTAAATAATTAGTCACTGTCTATTTAGTTTATGAATGTTATTTGAACAAGATTAGTTATAGTATCCATTCAAAAATATAATCTTGATAAGTAAAACTGTCAACAAATACCTACAAATAAAGTATATAACCTTAAGTAAGGTCATCTATGTTTTGATAAAGATTTCATAAAGTGAACAAGCTGAGAATTTTTTATGTGTTAAAATAAAAAATACGTCTTAGGAGTATGATTTAAGCAATTTAAAAGATTAATGATTGTCATTATTTTTATGGCATTCATTCTAAACAGAAGAAACCATATATCTCACATATTTACTTCTTTTTCTACAATGTTATGTTTCTTTGACAGAAAAGGGTGCTCAAATATTTAACTTTTATAGCTGTAACTCTTCCTTGGATAGAAGTATACATCAATATTAAAATAGAATTATCTTATGAAATTGCGTCACCAGATTTTTAAAATTCATTTTCTTCAGATATGAAGATGCCAGCAGAGGTGCAAGCATTAACATGATCTGTGCTCTTGACTCTTTCTAATAGAGATATGCCCTGGAACAGTAGAGTTCCCAGTTCTCCCCTTGCAGCCCCAACTTTTTCTACTAGGATTTTCCTTGAAAGTACCCAATTCCATACTGAACCATTGTGTCCTACTCACAAGATC